GGTAGTTTAGGTCCCCCATGACTACCGCCTCTTTAGCTTTTATGGTCTCCGAGAGTTGCCTCAGGAGCCCCGAATCTCTTTCTTCCCCTTGATGTGGGGGTCTGTAGCAGACCCCTACCACCAAATCCCTTTCTCCTTGTCCCCCATGTAGCCTAACCCACAATCCGTCTACTTCCTCATCCTTGGATTCTGTCTTGATGAGGGTTGACGTATATTGCTCACTGACATAGAGCGCAACCCCTCCCCCTTTTTTCCCCACCCTGTCCTTTCTGTACAATCTATACCCCTCAATCTGTACTGCCCAGTCGTGGGGTGAATCCCACCAGGTTTCCGTTAGCCCCACTAAGTCATAGGTGTTTAGTGCAAGCAGGAGTTTGTTGTTCATCCTGCTTGTTCCCCATGCTCCTAGCATTAGTATATAGGCACTTGAGCCCTGCAACTGGTGTCTTTGCTGCCCCGCCGCTCTGAGTCCCCAGGGGCCCTTTGTTTCTTACCTTCTCGTTACTTACCTGTGTCATAGTGCTGGCCTCCCCATGGCTTTCAGGTTCCCAATGCTCTCTATGCAATACGGGGTTACTCCAGGGCTGGAGGTGGTATATGGGGTCTGGCTGGTGCACCAGATTGCACCCACGGACTGATCCCATGCTAGATCAGACCCATGGATTGACCTTGTCTGCAGGATCCAGCCTGTGGATTGGCCCTGTGCGACTCATGCGGCCCATGGGGCCACATGGCTGTGTGCCAAAATAAATCACTGTTTTAGGTTAATGAGCATTTTATTATTTTTAATCAGTGGTTAACATGACTTATCTAGATGGTATTATCTGTTAAGAAGCAGTTAAATTTACGTGGTGCTGGCAGCAATTGTGAAGAACAAGATGTTCTTTTAACACAAATAATATTTTTATATGCACATATATATGAATATGATCAAGTAAATAATTGGAAAAGGGTGGTGAGGTGGTTTGTTGGTTAGGAAGGCTGGATTATTTCCTCGCTGCCTTTAATAAGTAAAATTTATTAGAGAGTCATGACTTATTCTCCTTAGATTTCTTACTATGTATTAACCAAGGGATGTCAAACTCACACTGTCCCCTGGGGTGGATCTTGACCATGGGGTTCTTCACAGGACTGATCTGGACTCAGTGCTGGGGCAAGCTGACACCCCTGCAGTAGCCCTTTCACACTGCCATGTTGTGGAAGCTTCTCTTTGCTCAGTATCTTGTTACTTCAGATTTATATACAATTATTCTTTTACATCTATTTCATCTCAATGTTATTGTTCCTTTACTGTGTACCACAGGGTGTAGCAAGATTCTATAAATCCAGAAAGAAACATATCATTACAACCCAAACAGAGCACAAGTGTGTGTTGGATTCTTGCCGTTCCCTGGAAGCTGAAGGCTTTCGGGTCACGTACTTGCCTGTTAAAAGAAATGGACTCATAGATTTAAAGGTAAGTTGCTTGTGGTTAAAATAGTAGCAAACCTGTGAAAAATCTTCACAGCAAGTTGTTATGTATAAGACAACCTTGAAAAAGACAACACTGTCAGTAATCTTTTCCTAAGTATGATAAGACAGAAGAATGAAAGTTGCACACAACTCACGTTTTTAAGAGCCACTTTGACAAGAGATGTTTCTCTCCATCCTGATTTGTTTTCTTAATAGAGTTGATATAACTAACAGATAGAAAAGAGGGGTATTGTGGTAGATTGGTAGTACTGGAATAGTTCTAAATCCAAATTTTCTTAAAAAGAGCAAAACCATTCTGTAAAGCCTGGGTTCCGAGTATGTAGAGTGTATTTCATGTGTAGTTTATTGTAGTTTATGAACTTTAAGGGAGGTTTTGGAGCACATTAAAGATTAAAAAAAAAAAGGTAAGTTATGTTCTCTTAACCCCTTTTTAAAAATATACTAAAACAGCATGAAGTTTGAAATTAAAGAGCTACACCCATTTGCTT